AATTATTGTCCCATTTTTCATATCCAAAAGGTTACCATCATTATTATTATCATAATAATTGTTATTGTTATTATTATTATTGTCGTCTTCATTCATATTATCATTCATATTATCATTCATATTATCACTCATATTATCACTCATATTATCATTCATATTATCATTCATATTATCATTCATATTATCATATATTTTATCATTATTATGAATAACATTATTAATATCTTTGGTCTTTCCAACCGAAGCAGCATTATTACCACTATTAATATTATTGTCTATTAAAAATTTGGGTAGAAATTCACACAAATTTCCTTGTAACATTAAATTAATATTCATATTATCAGTGTAATTCTCATGGGATCCCTTTCCATATATACGATTATACGTACCCATTTTAACCTCTTCCATTTTATTAAAATAATCATTATTTAAGGTATCAGAAGTTGTTTCACTAGTCGTTTTACATAACTCCGAAAATTGTTCTGACCAATTTAAACGATTTATATTTGCATTATCATAATGATTCATATCTTTATTATCATATACTACAGTATTTTCATTTTCTGAAAACATATTATACGAATCATTCGCATTTAAAATGGATATATTATTTGTACTATTCATTGTTAAGGATGATTGGTTTAATATATCCTCAGTACTTATTGGTAGACACCCACTAGGTGCAATTTTTTTACCCTTCCATTTTGCTGCATTTAATAATTTGGTTCTTATTTTCTTTTCTTCTTTATTTTCAGGAAAACGAACTTCCAAAGGTTTATGAGCACCTGATAAAATTATTTTATTATTTAAACATTTTATGGCATTTACTGCTTCGTCTCTATTATAAAAAGTAACAAAACCAGATCCTCGTGATTTACTTCTTCTATCTTTTAATATAATTAATGAATCGCATCTACCAAAATTACTAAATAAGTTGTGCATATCTTTTTCTGTAGTTATAGGAGCTAAATTTCCAAAAAAGAGTTTTATTACATATTCTTTATTTTCATGTAAAATTTCCCCTCCGTTTTCTATTTCTTCTTTTCCATTATGTAGCTCATTATCTTTATCTATTTTATTATCAACATTAATTGAATCATCAATCAAAAAGTTATTACTTGTCTGATTTATTATATTTGTATTTGTATTATAATAATTCTTATCATCATAGTTATTATGTACATCATAGTTATTATGTATATCATAGTTATTATGTATATCATAGTTATTATGTCCATCATAGTTATTATGTCCATCATAGTTATTATGTCCATCATAGTTATTATGTCCATCATAGTTATTATGTCCATCATAGTTATTATGTCCATCATAGTTATTATGTACATCATAGTTATTATGTCCATCATAATTATTATGACCATTATAATTATTATGTCCATCATAGTTATTATGTCCATCATAGTTATTATGTTCATCATATTCATTATGTCCATCATAATTATCATTTTCATCATAATTATTATTATTGATATCAGTATGTTTATTATCATAACTATCCATGAAATTCTTATTGTATGTGTGCTTGTCCGTAACTAAAAAATTATTTGAGTTTTCACATTCCTTCTTATTTATTGTAACATCATTGTTATTTAAAATGTTATGACTCTTCTTGCTTTTATTCAATGTTTCATCATCATCAACATCAATATGATGATTCATTTGATTATTCAATTTATTATTCATCTTATAATTTCCTTTAATACTCATTTTATTTTTATTATTATTATGTTCCTTATCACTACTTTTATTATAAGATGAATAAGGCATCAAATCGAAACTACTCAATAATCCTGTATTAGATTCAGAAGGGCTTTCCGTTAATTTCTCATTCATCATGTTGTTCTCATTGTTATTAATTTCCGTATCATGAAAAAGAATTTTCTTTTCTTTACCTTTTTTGTTATTCACAATTCCGTTCATTAAGCATGTGTTCATATTATTTCCATGTATATACTCTTTGTTTAAATTATTAAACACAGAATTGGTATTCTCACACAAATTGTTAAATACTTTTTTTTGCTTTCCATCCTGGAAAGAATTATCTTTCATATTCTTTTTGTTTCTTGAAATAATATTATCAGAACTATTAAAAGGGGAAGGTGGAATATATATGTCAAAATTATTATTACTATCAATATTATTATTACCTTGGAAACTTCTATTACCATGAATATTACTATTATGAATACTATTTGTTGCTATTTTATTACTATAAATATTATTCGAAAAAATTGCATTATTATACGTATAATTATTATATGTAGTATTACTAAGCATTCCATTATTATAATTCGATTTCTTAAAACATACATTATCGTAAGGATTGGTATTAATATTTGCACTATGGAAACTTGTATTATTGTAACTGCCACTATTATATGTACCAGAATTGTAGGTTTCATTTGTTGCTAACCTATTGTTACAATTCATATTGTAGTTATATTCTTCGTTTTTTAAGTAATCCTTTTTCTCATCACACTTTTCCATATTTTCAATAGTAAAAAAATCATCATACATATTATTATTTGCATAACGTTTATCTTTTATATCAGGTTTCATAAAACATTCTGATTTATTTTTTATATAATCCATATTTGTACATATATTTTTATAATTGTTATTCATATAAAAGTTATCCTTCAAATTATTATACTTTTTGTATTTATTACAATCATTTTCCATTATATTCATTTTTGAATATTCATTCTTATCAGTAAACAATTTTGCTGAATAAGGTTTCGTGGGATTTCTGTTCTTATTATACATGTATATATTATAATTACTGTTTATAATATTGTAGTCGTCATTTTTATTGTTATGCATGCTAACATTATTAAGGTTATCATTCATAAGGCCATTATAAGATATATTAATGTCCATAAAAGCTTCATTATATAAATTATAATCAATGGATTCATTTACATCATTTTTATTATCAACATGTTTAAACGTTATATTTCGAATGATATTATCATTATAATTATTATTATTATTATCATTATAATTATTATTATCATTAATAATAATATTATCATTATCATTAATATTATCAGTATTACTAATTTTATTATGGGCATCAATCCTTTTAATTTTATTTATAGTTTCATTTTTAGATTCTTTATTATTTCCCTTCATAAAATTAGATTGGTTTGTTTTACTACATGTTACATGGTTTAATTCGTTCTTACGAAATAAGTTAATATTAATGTTTTTCATGTTATTTATATTATTATTAATTTCATGTTCATATATATTCATATTATTATTATTATTATTAATTTTTTTATCGGTATTTTTATTTTTATATATGTCATACAACTTATTATTACCATTTATCGTTTTATATATCATTTCGTCATTACTAAAAATAAAACTATCCTTATTATCTTTTATTTTACATTCTTGTACAAAATTCTCATTTCTTTTAACTTCTAAAAAAAAATCATTAGGCAAAACGTCCGTTCTTCCATTTAAGAAAGAATTATTTGTTACATTAATATTTTCATAAACCTGATCACATTTATTATGCACGCTATTATTATTAATCATAATATTATTATTAATCATATTATTATTATTATTAAAATTATTATTATTATTTAATATATTATTATTATTATTTAATATATTTTTATTATTATTATTCAACATGTTATAATTATTTATAATGTTATTATTATATACCATATCATATTTTTTATCATTTTCATTATGTCGACATATATTATTATTAAGTTCATTTTCGATACCAATAATAATTTTATCATTGCATGTCATATATTTATTAACTTTTATCATTTTGCTATAATTATTATTAATAATATTTTTCTTATTACTTATTTCTTTATTATCTATATTATTATTATTATTTTCATTATATGTATATTCCTTTTTATTATTTTCTGCATGGCTATCCAAAGATATTCTATTTATCCTAACTGAATTAGCTTTAAGTGTTTTTGTAATTTCCCTATGTATATATTTTCTTGACTCTTCAAAATTCTCTTCATTCGAATTATTATTGATATTAATATTATGATTGGTATTATTATTATTATTATTATTATTATTATTATTTTCATTTATGAACATTTTAATATTAGGATAATACAAATAATTATCATGCATATTGTCATGACTACATTTATCATTCGTTTCTGAAAGAATACTGTTCATTTTAATAAAGAAACTAAATATAATAATTCTAAAAAAAATTATATAATATATACTTTATTATATATATATATATATATATATATATATATATATTATATTACTACTTATATAAAATTTTAAAAACATAAAAAAAAAAAAAATATATATATATAAATATATAATATACATAGATAAGTATGGATTTTTATTAGTGTATATTAAACATAAATATAAATGAAAATATTATAATATATATTTATTTAGTAAAAAAACAATAGTGTATATTATAATATAAATATAGAGAATACATTATATATATTATTTATATATATATATGATAGATATTATATATTTCGAATCTTAATATATATGTAAGATTGAGAATATAAAAAAAAATACTAAAATCTATTATTAATATAATAATAAATTCAATATATTCTTTTTACTTTCTTTATATAGAAATATTTATTTAATATAATATATATGCAAAAAAAAAAAAAAAAAAAAAATATATATATATATATATAAATAAAATAAAAATATAAATAAGAAACAAATATAAATAAATAAAAAATAAAATAAATTAAAAATAAAATAAAATTATAAAATAAAATTATAAAATAAAATAAAATAATAATAGATAAACATTAAATAACAAATATAATCTAAATAAAAGTTAAATTGTTATATATATTACTATACCTATTATATTATTAAATAACTATGTTTTTATTTTATTATTATTTTTTAAATAATTATTTCTAATATATTTTTTTTTTTTTTTTCTTATATAAAATATTAGATTCTTAAATTATTATTAGATTTGCTATTTTCCTTTTCTTTTGCTTTGTATATAATTAGTTCTCGATTCTTATACAACGTTGTAAATATATATACTCTTTATAAAATATAATTTAATATAAAAATAATTTAAATAAAACTATAGCAAATTGTGTCTCACAAAAATGCACTCTTACGTTTAATGTAAATATATAAAATCAAAACAAGACCGAAATATAGATATATGAAGTGCAACAAAAATACATGTAGAAATAAATAAATAAAAATAAATAAATGCTTAACAATATCATGTATACTCTTCTAATATTTCAAAATTCATATACACTAAATTATATATGTTTTTTCTATTACTCTGAATATATATTATATGCATATAAATATATATGTAAAAATAAATGTGCATATTATATATATATTATAAAAACTCAGATGATATATAAAAGAAATAAGAGATGAATTAAAATCTATAAACTAATGTATTCTTGAATATAACATAAATATAAAAAAAAAAAGAAGAAAAAACAGATAAAAATTAAAAAGTTAAAAAAGAATAAGAAATAAAACATATCATAATATAATTATGTCAATATTAAATAAGAAGATGTAAAATCTTGCCTATTCAATTACACATGCATATTATATGAATAAAAAATCTTATGTATGGAAATTTCACATATATAGGGAGTATAAAAAAAATATTAGTATAAAAAAAAAAAAAAAAAAAGTTTTCTATTAACAAATATACATGTGGACGAAATTATATATATCTCAAAAGAAATGATGAAAAAATTTCCTTTCAATATGTATGTGTCCTAAGAAATAAAACAAAAATAACAATGAAAATAAACATGAATAGAACACTAAATTAATAAAATAAAAGATGAATAAAAAAAAGAGAAAAAAAAAAAAAAAATACTTAGATTTATATATGTAGAGAAATAATATGAATACAAAGATTATAATTTGTGTATGTATGAAAAAATTACTATATTATATCCTTACATATATTGCTTATGGAGATTATGCAACTCTACTGTTATTAAAATTCATATACTAATGTTAAATGAGCAATAGGATTATAAAAAAACATGGAACATTAAATAATGAGGCTACATGAACACTATATTCTACATATACAATATGCAATTAACATACAACAATATGTTTATATATATATATATATATATTATATGTATATATAATACAATAATAAAAGTAATATTTATGTAAAACATTAAAAAAAAATATATATGTATATATAATCTTTCGTTATCACCATATGTGTTCATCACAATATTTCATCTCAGATATTATCATAAAAATAAATAAAAAAATAAAAAAAACAAAAATATAATGTACTAATAAAATTAACGCCAAAATGTAAATTCATAAAACTTAAGAAAAAATAATTATAGAAGTGTATATAATATAATGAGAAAAAATGTATGACACATATATATATATATATATATATATATATATGAATAACAATATATATGCTTCTTTTTAATGAAATGTTTATTCTATTTTTTTTTCTTCTTCTACTTAATATTATGTATATATATATATATATATATATATATTATTATTTAATTTTTTTTTTTTTCTTTTTTTTAGTTGTTTTCATATATGATGATGTTTTTTTTATATTTTTCTTTTTTTTGTGTTTTTTTTTTTTCTTATTTTTATTTTTTCGATTTTATTCTTACCTTTTTTTTTTTTAATTTTCCTTTATTTTCTTTATTTAAATAAAAAAAATTAAAAGCAATACAAAAAAAAAAAAAAAAAAATTTTAAATATAATGCATCCATATATAAATAGAACTTTTGTAAGAGGAATCAAAAAAAAAATATATACGAAAAATACATGTATATAACTTATGTAATATTAAAATAATGAATATTAATATGCATATATTTAGAGATTTATAAAAAAATAACATATTATTTTCATAGTAAAATATTTCTATTCTTTTAAATTATTTACAACCATACACAAAAGTAAAAAAAAGATATAGTGGTACATAAAAAAAAAAAAAAAAAAAAAAAATCACGTGGTACAAAATAAATTAAATTGAAGAATACATTATAAATAAAAATAAAAAAATATTAATATAGATTATATAAATTTTAGGTATATGTGTTTTAAAAAGAAAAAATTCATATTATAATATAATCTATAAAAATTTTCATAAGCAAAAATAGCCATTTGTCAAAGTAACGCACGCTATATATCCTTGAAAAAAAAAAAAAAAAAAAAAAAAAAAAAAAAATACAAAGATTTCAATATGTTGTTTAAATTATTTTAGGACATATTAATTAAGCTTATATACATTATAATATCAATAGAATATTTCTTTTATAATATCCACCATTGGAATATTTTCCACTGGAAATCGATTTAGTGACATAAACAGCAAAATGGAAAATGAATATATTGAAATACAGCCAAAAATATAAAAAAGTAATAATAATAAAAAAAAAAAAAAAAAAAAAATTAAGTAATATATTCAAGCTAATATATAAAATAGCTAGTTTGTATGTTTGTATATTTGTATATTTGTATATTTGTATATTATATTATATATTATATATATATATATATATATATATATATATATATATATATATATATATATATGTATATATACATAATAGGAGGTATGCTTCTTAATAGCTATCCTTTTTTATTCGTTATTTACTTTATTTTATTTTTATTTTTTTCTGTTAATACTAAATCAACATATTTTTATTTCTTTTAAATACATTCATTTATATTTATATATTTATATATATTTATTTATTATATATGTTTTTATTTAAATCATCAATAAGGTTAATTTTTTTTTCATTGGTTTAACTAAATATATTCTCATATATTAGTAAATTATATATCTTTATATATATGTGTGTATATTTTTTTATATAAATCATTTTATAATAATAATTTTTTTTTTATGTATTAATCTTTTTATATATTATTTTTTATTTGGTTAAATGATCCAATAACCGTATTATACTTATGAATGAGCTCATGCACCTTAAGTTTGTATTAATACTATTAAGGATAATTTTATTAGTATTTCTATTATAATTATTATATAATCCGTATAGAAGTGTATTATTTCTTGATCTTTTCAAAATTATAGTTCTTTTTTTCTTTTTTTTTCTTTCTTTTTTTTTTTTTTTTTTTTTCGATTTTTATAAATATATATATTCTTAAAATTAATATTATTAGATATATATTATATTTACATCGTAGTTATATGTAAAGGATAATATCCTAAGATTTTTATTTCGTTTATCATTCCATTTATATTTTCAAATAAATGTAATATTAATTAGGAAATGAAATAATATATAATATATATAAAGAAAAAATAATAAATAAGAAATCAAAGAAAATAAAAATTAAGATAAACTAAGAGAAAATATGGGAGGCAAAATATATATTATATAAATCAAAATTCTTAAATGTTGTTATATTTATAAATAAAATGCAATTAGATGTGTTAAAAAAAAAAAAAAAAAATTATAATAAATAATTATAAAATAAATAAAAAAAAAATATATCTCTTCTTAAATGAACTTAGATGTGTCTATTAATTCGTTAAGAATATTGATGATTTACAATATATAATAATATAAAAACTATAAATAAATAAATGGTTAAATGTGTTAATTTTGTTTTTTATTCTTAAATGTTATATGTTGCAAGATAGTATATTTTACAACATGTAAGTTATGATTTTCATTTTATCGGTATAATCATAGGGAAATATGACATTGATATAAATATAATACAACTATAGCATAATATTTTATTAAAATATTTTATATTGATTAATTAGTATTATACTAAACAAAATAATTTCTAATATATATGCAGCTAACGCAAGAATATATATATATATATATATATATATATATATATTACATATAAAAAAATTACAGAATAAACTAACATAATAAATTACAGATTTTTAATTTATTTATATATATATATTTTTTTTTTCTCACTTATATATATGTACATGTATTTCCTTTTCTTTTTTAACAAGAAATTACATTATTATATAACATAAGAAGGGTTCTTATTTAGATCGATATTACTAGACAAAATATGGATATGTGATATTATTTTAAATTATGTATAAAAAATTTAAACACCTTATATATTCTTTTTAAGTCATATAATATTAGGTTATTCACAATTTAAAGACATATTTAAATAATAAATAATCCATATTGATTATATAAAATTTATAATATATTAATTTTATGTCTTCTAGAATTAGATGCAACTAACAAAAGTATTGTAAATAAACACATTAAGTAAAGTATATTAAATAACACTTATTACAAAAGATATATTTCTAAAAAAAAGACACGAAATGGGCATGTAATAAAAATAAAAAGTAATTATTTATAAATAATAACATTAATGTAACCAAAGAAAATTTTTATTTTGGTTACTACCCCATTATGATACATATAATTTCTTTTTCTTAAATGCATCCCTTTTAATATATATTATATATTATATATTTTATATTTAATTTTTTTTTTTTTTTTTTTTTTTTTTTTTGATTTGGTTCATTATTTCGATAATTCGATCGCTCGAATATTCTTAGATGAGATAATTCTTAAAATCGTCAATTCTTTAATTACTATATTCTTAAAAAATTAATTAAATAATAAACTATATTATTAATTTTGATATTAAATTACATCTTTAATAAAATATATGTATATTACATATGCACGCATGTTTTGTTTAGTTTATTATAATTTGATATAACAAATATATTTTTTTTTTTTTAAATCTTTCATTAATTATATGTTATTCATATATTTATTCTAACGGATAAACTATATATAATACTAAATAAAATCAATTAATATTATTATTTTTTTTTCTTTTAATTGAATGTAACTAAAATTTCTTTTATATCTAATTATTTGTTATTAAAAAAAAAAAAACATAAAAATAAAGAAAAAATATATAAAAAACATTTTACGTATATAAATTTATACATATATATGGTATATATTATATATATATATATATTTTTTGAATTTATATATTAATGTTTATAGTATCTTGTATACATGACTTATTTATTTGATAAGCGTGTACGTACGTATATATTTATATATATATATGTACTTATATAAATATATTTATTTGTTTATATGTATATGTTAATATTTGTATAAACATATTTATTTGTTATTATGTATATTTTAATATTTATTTATATATATTTATTTGTTATTATGTCTATGTTAATATTTGTTTATATATATTTATTTGTATATTTTCATATATACACATCCAAACACATAAATAATATATTTTAATGTTTATGGTTATATATATATATATATGATTATATGTATTTTTGTATATATACATATCCTTATATATATAAATGTTTGCATATATTTATGTTCATATATATAAGGATAAATATTAATATATATTTTTATGTTTATATTTTGATAGGTTTACTCATATAGACATATATATACAAATGCTAGTATATTTTAATTTTCTTATATATAAACCTGTACATATATACATAAGTTTATGTGTCTAATATTTCCTACCTATATTTGTAAATACATATATATATATATATATATATATATATATATATATTCAAATAAAGTTAATAAAATATAACTATTTTAAAGTAATATATATATATATATATGAATAACCATTCATAATAATATAGACCTCAGTTTTAACTTATATCAAGTATGAAAAGTATAGTAAGAACATTAAGATTATAAAAGAATTCATTTTATTTATTATATATTTAATATGGAAAACAAATATATATAAATATTTAGTGAAATAAAAGGGGCCTCATTCATATATATAAACATATATATATATATATATATATATATATATATATTTTAATAATTGTTTATATGTAATTTTAAAACATTCCCTCTTTTCTTTTCTCTTATTTTCATTTTTCATCTTTTATTTTATTTTCATTCCTTTTCTCTTCATTTCCTTTTTTCATCTTTTATTTTATTTTATTTTATTTTCATTTCATTTTATTATTTTCTCTTTTAATAATTCAGCGTTATATTATATATATTTTACATATATATGAAAGTAGGACATTTTAATATATTCAGGGTTATTTCTTTTTACTCAGGCGTAAATTATTCTTGGCTTTAAAACTTTAAATAAAATCGGCTGTGTGGTTAAAGAAGAAATCAAAAAGATAAAAAAAAAGAATTATAAGTATTACAAAAATATCACTTTAATTTTTTAAGCTGAACATGTAATTTTTATACAAAACATATATTGATATATAATATTTATTAAGTCTTAACATATTATATTTAAGCGCATAAAATTTTGAATAGTATATTCCATAAAGAACAAAATATAATTAAATTTAAACATTTCATATTAATTTTTCTTTAAGAGAATAAGAAAAAAAAAAAAAAAAAAAAATTCATAATTATACCATAAAAATTGTTTAATAAGTTACCACTTGCTATATTTATATATTTCCCCTTTAAAAATTAATTTTAATAATATTTATTTTATATGTGTAAATTTTAAATAAAGATGATTTAATTAATAAACACTTAATTATTTTTACTTTAAAAAAAAGAAAAAAATAATTGGTATATAAATATAATTTTATATATATATATATATATTATATATATATATATATATATATATATATTTAATTATATTTATATTTATTTTATATAGGTACCTATTTTTTTAATATTATATATATGGTATGAAAATATATATATAAATTTATACATTTTAAAATATATTATTTTATGAAAAAAAATATATTGCATATATGTAAAATTATATATATATATATATATATGTATATATTTAATTATTGAGCTTATATAAAACATAAAAAAAAAAAAAAAATTATCATTTATAAATTTGTAAATTATTTAATTTGTAAACAAAAATACTCTATAGCCTTTTATTATATATATATATATATATATATATATAATTATTTATTTAATTTTTTTTAATTACAATGAAAGTGATTATATTTTTGTAAAATAAAGAAGAAAAAAAAGGCACAATAAAAAAAGGAATACTTTATATGGAAAAATTTATTTTTAAAATTAATATCAAAATAAGGTTTAAATATTAAGAAGAATAAAAAAAAAATTAAAAAATTATAATAATATAAGAAAAGGTGATAATGATATATATTGATAATAATATTCATACAACTATTATATATATTAATATAATAAAGTATATATATATATATATATATAATATTTTTATAATTAAAATTTTATTATTATTTATTTTTTTTTTTTTTTATATTTGTGGAAATAAAAAAATATATATAATATTATATATTTTTTTTCATTTATGTTTTAATTACTGATTTATATTAATGAATTTGAAGAATCACAATTATTAACATTTGAAATAAAATATGAATAATAATAATAATAATAATAACAATAAATATAATAACAATAATGATATTCATAACAGTATTAACAAAAATGGAAGTACAAACATAAATAACAATATGAATATGCCCAATAATATCATGAGTAATATTGCAAATAATCGGGGTAGTATACAAAGCAATATCAATAATATGGCGAGACCTATGAATAATATTAATAATGTACATGGTAATATAAACATTCCAAACAGTAGAAATATATCAACTAATATAAATATGACAAATAGTAGAAATGTGTCAAGTAATATGAATATTACTAATAATGTTAATAGGACAAGTAGTATAAATGTTCCAAATAATATGGGCAGAACGAGTAACATTAATTTATCAAATAATGTAAATAGAACAAATAACCTTAATATGAACAATAATATAAATAGTCCTAATAATATGAATATATCAAGTAATGTGAACAGAACAAATAATATGAATATTCCAAATAATATGAATATTCCAAATAATATGAATATGCCAAATAATATGAATATGCCAAATAATATGCATATGCCAAATAATATGAATATACCAAATAATATGAATATGTCAAATAATATAAATATGCCAAATAATATAAATATCACAAAAAATAGAAGTAATAGCATATTAAATAATAGTGTAAATAATATTTCAAACAATATAAGCAGCATATCTTCAAATATTAAACCACGAAATATGTCAAGTAATATTAAACATAATTTAAACAATTTTAATAATAATATGGCTAAGGATATTAATGTAAAAAGCTCGATAAAAATGAGTAATGATCTAAATAATAGTAATATACATAAAAATAGTATAATAAACAATAATAATAGTAATATTAATAATAATATTAATAATCATAATAGTATTAGTAATAGTAGCGCAAGAGAGAGTGTTATGAGTAATATTAACTATAACTATAATAATATAAATTATAATAATATTATGAAAAATAATATTATAGATATTAACAAAAAATTAAATAATGACAAGAACAATAATTTAGATAATGCTGAAAAAATAAATAAAAAGATAGGTAACAAAATGATTATAAAAAATAGTATGAACAAAAATAGTTTTATGAATACAGATCAGAACAATGTCAATATGTATTATATGAATGATATGAAAAATACAGAGAATAATATATACCTAACAAACAGTAATAATAATACTATGAACAAAGTTAATAATATTAAAGACAATTCTAATACATTGCAACAATTTAAGGAAATTGAATACATAGAAAACATGTATAAGAGAGAAAAAATTATAAATGATAAAGAAAATGTGTATATGTCAAATAAAGGACAAAGTAATATTAATCAGACAAATAGTACTAGTGTTATAAATAATAAACATAATATAAATAATATAAGAAATATGAATAATACGAATAATGTGAATAATATATCTAGTATGAATAGTACTAGCAATGTGAATAATATGTCTAATATAAATAATATGAATAATATGAATAATATAAATAATATGTCTAATATGAATAATATAAATAATGTGATTAGTGTAAATAATTCCAGTGTTAATAATTCCTACCAAGTTGATAAAACTGTGTATAAACCTATAAATTTAAATAATATAAACAATAAAAATAGAAACCAAATATATACATACAATAATAATGATACCAATAATTTCATTATGGATAATAATATAAATTCAAAATCGAATGAATTATATTACAACAACAACAATAACAATAATAATAATAATAATAATAATGTGAATAAAAATATCAATTTATTATATAACGAAGACGGAAATTATAAATCACATAATAACAATAGTGGAGATAATAATATAAATAATAATAAACAATTATTTATGAAACCCTTTCACAAAAATGTAGAAAACACAAATGACTTTAAAAGTAACAACGAAGAAATTAATATAAGATATAATAGTAATATGCTTGATATAAATAATACTAACAATAATATAATGCTGAAGGCAACTGCAAACATGAAATCTACAATGCATACAGTGGGAGTCAAAAAACAAAAGCTAAAAAATAATGACACAACAACAAATAATAATATTAATAATAATTTAACAAATATTGAAAATGCAGATAATATGTATGAACAACAATTAAACAAAGAGAAACTAAATATAAACAGTACATTTAATTTTATGAATGAACTGGATATTTTTAATGATCCTTCCCAAAACGAAAATAAACAATCAGATAATACCCCTGTAAGAAAGTATAACACAAATAATAAGATAGCAAAAAATAATGATCAGCCAAATTCTAAACAACCCAGAGGAAGTAAAATGAATAAAATAAATAAAATTGAAAAAATAGACAAAATGAATAAGACCAATATAGAAATAAATAATAATATGGGTACGACAATGTCTGTTAATAATAATATGCTATATGAAGAAATAAAAAAAAATAATACAACTTCATTTGATAATGGAATAAATAATAATCGCATACCTTTTTTTAATGGAACAATTCCATTAGATAAAAATAGTAGCCTTTATAATAATATGAAAACAAACTTTAATAAAAATTCAAATATATCTAATAGTTTTGATAATTCATTGAATACAGATTTACAAGATGATTTTGAAAAACTCAAGGCACGTATTGAACAAGAATTTGAAGAGAATAAAAATAAAAAAAAGAAAAAACGAGAAAAGAAAGAAGACAAAAAGGAAAACAAAAAGGAAAACAAAAAGGAAAATAAAAAGGAAAATAAAAAGGAAAACAAAAAGGAAAACAAAAAGGAAAACAAAAAGGAAAACAAAACGGACGATAAAAAGGAAGATAAAAAAGACGACAAAAAGGACAACGAAAAGGACGACGAAAACAAATCAGATATAGAAATTAAAGATGATAAAAATGGAGTTACTATATTAGATGATAATATAAAAGAAAAAGAAACAAATATTGAAAAAAATAATGATATATTAAATTTAAAAAAAAATGAAGATCAAAATATATTAAATAATAACAATAATC